TAGGCTAATGTTAGCTCAGCTTGTTTCTCTGATAACGTAAGATCCAGAAATTCAAGGGGGTGATTACAAGGAGCCACACTATCCTCAGTAGTCACCTCCTCTCCAAAACAAACAGGCCTGCTGATTAAGAACATGTAAAAACACTGAAAATATCAGTTTCACATAAAAAAATCAATGTTTCCCCAGTCGACAGAGCTAGCTAAATGCTAACGTTAGCTCAGCTTGTTTCTCTGATAACTTCAGATCCAGATGTCTAATGACTAAAATCCTAAGCCAGTTTAAAATAGAGAGTTTAAAGCACCAAGATATACATGTATGTTCTAATATGGCTTAAAACTGGATGAAAAGAAAAATGTTGACCGCTTTTGGCACTGACTCATGCTTAAAGACGACAGAGTACAGCTACTTGCAATGGGCCTGGTCTACAAGATCCACTACACCTCTATGGTACCCATGTACATGTCAAAATTCTTCCCAAAGGTCAAGGAATACCATGATCATAACACCAGAGGGAGCTCCACAAATCATGTGAAACCCAGATTTGGCACAAAAAAGGGGGAATACACGTTTCGCAATTATGCCACATCAAGGTGGAACGCTCTTCCCACAACTGTAAAGGAAAGTAAAACTATACTTACCTTCAAAACCTCTCTTAAAGAGCACCTTCGGGGGAGAGCATTGCAAAACTGGCCCCGGTAATGGTACAAATCTCAACCTGTCGTTCAATGGACAGCTTCCCCCCCCCCATCTATGCATATACTCGCATTTTAGACTCTGTTACTAACTGTATATCTGTAGACTTGGTATGTCTTAAATGTCCGGTTAGGATGTATTAGAACGAAATCTAAAATGAAAATTGTAAATAAGCAATCTGTATGTAAAAAACCACCTGTATGTAAATTGTAAATAAGCCATCTGTATGTCTTATATGTCTTATATGTCTTAAATGATATGATGAATTGGAAATGGGGGACCCTGATGTAAACAAGACGAAAGTCTTTCTCTGGTCTGCATCCCCTTAACAATTGTATGTTTTGAGCTGTACTGTACTCTACCCAATATACAAGCTGTTAATACACTTTTCAATCAATCAATCAATCAATCAAAAGGAATATGACGCCATTGCAGAGACGTGGATAAAGATAGCAGTTACCGATACCAGAGGGAAAACTACTAATTCCTCTGAAACTACACAACTCTACACAATATATACCATAGGTGTAGTACTTTTTAATCACTTTAATGTGAAAATGTCAAATAATTACCTTTAATGTTAGAATCGTTTACCAAGTAATCAACTTGAAAAAGTGTATTACCTTCACAAACTAGAACGTCTTGTAAACGGTGTCTAAAAAGATGCTTTGTAAAAAAGAGAACGTTTTATGTTAGTGTGTGTGTGTGTGTGTGTGTGTGTGTGTGTGTGTGTGTGTGTGTGTGTGTGTGCAAGACAAAGACTCCTTAGTATAACTTTCTGTAGGCGATCCCCCCACCTTCACCCCTTTCCTGTCTCTCTCTCCGACCACTCACCGAACAACACACACACACACACACACACACACACACCACACACACACACACACACACACACACACACACACACACACACACACACACACACACACACACACACACACACACACACACACACACACACACACACACACACACACACACACACACAGAGAGAGCATCATTCAGCTTTCTTGTTAAACATTGAACTCACTGTTTTTCTAACACAGCTGTTAAAAATAGAAGTGGAAATCCAATTTCCTTTAATTAACACTTTAACCAAATTAAACCGCGTCTGCTCTCTGCGCCACCACTGGGAATACACTTCATTTAGAAAACAAATAGTGTTGTGTATACCGCATGCACTTAAAGGATAAGTATGATGTGATGTGAAATCTGGAAGAAAATGTGCTTTTTATGGGAAATCCCAGAATATAAGCGCACATTGTGGAGCCGTTTGACGCCACATACAGTAGGAGAGTATTTCATAGAGCTGCTTGTTGAAAAGGATTTGTTGACGTTGGCATGAAAGTGAGATTACAGCGACAAATGAAACAGTGGCTTTTTTATTAAAAGGTCTTTTCAAGTGCAGGCAGTAAAAATAAACCGCTGGATTTCCTGCAGTCTAGTTTTGTTGCAGCAGAGACTCAGAGGAGAACATGTTCAAAGTGTAAAGCAGCTTTATTGTAAGTTTCCAGCTACATAAAGACAGGACGACCTTTAAAAACAAGAACGTGCGCAGTCAGGCTGCGGTGGGAAAAGCACTATTGACATCAGAGTAGAAATATTTTTGTTAGAATCATTTGTTTGTCCACAATTTTACAGATTTAAATGTCTTTTAAAAGGACCTGTGTTTTATAATATGAGCTTAGCACGGTCCCTTTAATGGTGGTATATAAGGAGGCGTGTGATGCAGTGGTTGTGTGTTGGTGTTCGGATCAGGGTTCAAACCCCACTGCAGTCAGCATGTCGTTGTGTCCCTGAGACTCTTCACCCCAAAGTGCTCCTGTGGGGATTGTCCACAGCATTGAGTATGTGAGTCGCTTTGGATAAAAGCGTCTAACAAGTGACATGTAATGTAATGTAACTTATCTTAGACATGGTTTACGACCTAAAGGAAAGAATCGCGAAAGGTGAGACCGTGATGTTGATGTAAAGTTTGTACACAGATACTATTACAACATTAAAGGAGTATTTTGGATTGGAAAATGTGTTTGAGACACCTACAAAAACTGAATATTAGTTGAAATAGATGCTATATTCATAATATTTTCATTGTTTTATATGCTGTATGTGTATGTTAGTGTTATTATGTGACTTTGGTGACTCTTAATTAAACCTTTAAAACACCAAACCTACACAATAACATGTACTAAGTGACACAGAGTGACGCCATAATACTAGTTTTGTCAATCGAGTGGGTTGGCTTCAGTTCCCCGACAGAAAGGGCCGTCTGACAGGAAGCTGAAAATGTGTACATAGAATGCTCTTAAATTGATTAATGTCGGTGTCCACATACGTCCACATACATGCTTATACCTTATCTACACTGACTGAAGAAGCAGCTCATATAAACCCACTTCAAGAAGTAGTTTATGGGATATCTTACAACATAACCAAAATAAACAGGACCCTTTTTCTTGGGAATGAGAAAAACACATAAGGATCCACGGAGGACACTTAATTCCAGAGGACATGGTACAAACAGTAGGAAACATAAAAATGATATTTCATTTGCACTTTTAAATTGTTCACCAGATCCACCGGGTCTGAAGTCCAAGAGTCTAAGAAGGAGGAAATATAGCTTTCAAAAAGCTCTTTATTGTTCTCATACTGCCTGTGCTGCAGCACCTCTTTTCACCCTCCGTCTGAAACCAGAGACCAGTCTGCTCTGATTGGTTAGCTGGCCGGCTCTGTTGCGATTGGTCAACCACTTAGAGATGTCCCGCCCCTTAGACTATCACGCACAATGTGTTGGAGTGCTAGCCAATAGAAGCGTGAGTGTTTTTTCTAACTTTTTCAGACACATATTTTGCATTTAAGATCAAACAAGGTGCCTTCTTTCTATCTTCTTTCCAAAAAGTGGAAGACAGAATGTGCTCCGAGTGTTTGGCTGAGCCTCCGTTCACAGAAGCAGATATAAAAAATATTGGATAAAAGAAAGCCAACGAAACAAACAGAGGTCTTTTGTGCTCGTGTACATCTGTTCAGACTCTGGCTTTTACTTAAAAAGAGATAAACCCCTGAAGGACCCTCTCAGCGGCCCTGACGAAGAGAGGTGTCTCTATTTGTGCCTGTTTGAGTTGACTGTGTGCCCTGAAGGTAAACAGACGTTATCATTATTCCTCTGCTGCTGCTATGGAGGCGGATACTGACAGACACACAGGCAGATTAGTGTGTGTGTTTATGTGTGTGTGTGTGTGTGTGTGTGTGTGTGTGTGTGTGTGTGTGTGTGTGTGTGTGTGTTTAGCAGGAATTATCGAGCACCTTCTCCAGGTGTGTGCAGTCGAGGGTTTTACGACGGGGCAGGACTGGAATCTGCAACACACCCGCCATGCACATCATTATCACCTCACAAACACAACGAGGGGCATTTACTGATGCTTTTGCACTCATCACAAACGTTCAGGACGCTTTTTTAGGGTCATTCTAGGTGAAAAATAATGAATAAAGTCGATCAGATTAAAACAGTAGGAGATTGTTCAAATATGGCCCGTGGAAAGTGCTAAAAATACCACAAAAACGCACATAAAATCCCAAATGATTGAGCACCCGTTGGTTTTACGATAAACCTCCAAGAGGCTTTCTTGTGCGTCCTATCGTGCTATATATAGCTACTAGATCTCATATCTGTTGGTGAAACCACAACGAGGGGCTGCCTTTTAGCGACTCTTAGAGCACCCTTTTTGCTGCACCCCGAAAACAATACAGCTGAAAATAAATCAACAGTTTTTAGTAAACGTTGAGGCTCTGCTCTTGGTTGCTGTGTAGTTTCTGTCCACTGCTCGTCGCACTTGGATGGGTGAAAGACTAACTGACTGTGTGTAAATGTGTGACATTTAGAAGAGGATTTAATCTTGGACCTGGCTTTGCTGGCCTTTTTGACCAAACGCCCAGAAAGTGCGTCAGATGTTGAATCACCTTTTCTAAGCGGTGGAACTTCAGTGTCCGTTTGTGACGCAATTGGGGTTACCACAAATAACCGCTTGTGCATTTCCCTCTGTTCCTCCGTTATCTTTCCTGCATATTGTGCAATACCATTATTATTAATAATGTTCTATAAATATCGTGCAATTACGTATCTGCCACTACGTTTTTTGCACTAAATACTGTTAATATTATTACTTATATGACCGTCTATGTTTCCTGTAGTTAGTGAATTTACTGCACTGTTAGTGTACCGTTTTATTATTATTGTGCTGCTGTGTTTATTGTATTTCTGTAACTCTGGCACAACCATTTCCATATCTTATCTTGTCTCGTCTCCACAGTGTGATCCAGATCCAGCTGTGAGATCATTATCATCAGGATGAAGATGAGACTCGTCTTCCTCCTCCTGACGCTCGTCGTCCTCGTCGCCGCCCGACCCAAAGCAGGTCAGTGAACACACTGAGGGAACAATTACAAGAACAGCAGCAGGAAAGTGTTCAAATGAAATCCTCCTGTGCATCGTGACTTTACTTTAAGGCCCTAATGCGTTTGGACGTATCAGATTTATACGTTTGGATGCAGTTGAAACATCTGCAGCCGGGTTGACTTGATTTATGTGAGCAGACGACGAGGTGGACACTTTTATAAGATGTTAAAACCCCGCCGTTTGCTCATGTCTGTTTGAAACCGAAGACAGATCCCACTCGTCTACTTTCACCTCCTCTGCTTTCACAAGAAGAGATCCTGGACGTTTGAAACTCTTAAAGAAATACACAGACCTGCTTCATCCCTCCTCCATGACTGCTGTGTCGCTGAGCAGAGATGGTGTTACAGATCACACTAAAGACTAACACATGTGGCTGAAGAGGAGTGAGTTCAGGAGGTAAATGATGTGAAAGTCATGCCTGAACTGCTGCAACTGTAAACCACACACAGAGCTGTGAGAACAGAGGCTCTTCGTAGTGAGCATTCAAACACAATACCCTTTATAAACGCATTGAGAGCCAAACACGGCTCCATATCGGGACAATTTAACACCTTACAAAATCAGAGGTCCGATGCAGATGAAAAGGGAAAAGAGAAGACGCATATATTAAATAAAAAGGCAAGCACACTTTATTTAAAGAAAGCAAAACAAAAAAGCAAATACAAATAAGTACAGCATTTTAAAACGGGTGTTGATGTAATCAAAGTGCCCCCAGGCTACAGAGTGACCTGACTTGATTTATATAACGTATCAAAGGAGCTGACCATTTTAACACGTTGAAAATAAATTGTAAAGTAATTGAGTTGATTGCACACGAGCAGTGGTTCTGCGTAAGAGTTTTATATAAATGCACATGTCAGCAACAAGGCAGTTAAAGGGCTTTACTGCACATACAAACAATACATGCAAAATAAAGTAGGATTCATGCATTTAATAAATCACATTTAAATACAATTAAAAATGTTTTAACGAGAGAATAGAACATTTTATTTAAACGTAAAAAGAGTATAAATACGACACATTTTTCTGAACTGTTTAAACATTAATTTAGTTTTCTAGCAAAAACTCAAAAACAAATAACCCAGCTCTATTTTCAATGCACAGGAATTGATGTCTTCAGACGTCATGAAACACCATCTGTTTGAAGCCTTTTTCAACTCATTAGAGTGACCCCTTCTTCCCCTTCGTTGTGCATATTCTGCTCTGTCCTGCCCTCTATCAGGAAATAACACTTTTCGACGTGACTGATTTCCCTTTTCATTGAAATGCAATTACAACACAATTGAGAGAATAGAACATTTTAAAAACCTTGAAAAAGAGTATAAACACCACACCTTTTTTTCTTCTGGTTAAATATTCATTTTGTTTGATTTGAAAAAAAGCCAAGGCACTCTTCTACTCTACGTTGATCGACTTCATGAAATTACCATCTGTTTGAAGGCTTTTTTGTTGATCCTTCCTCCTCCCTCTCTCAGGTCCGAAGCAGAAGTGTAAGTCCGGTCCGGTGGATCTGGTGTTTCTGATCGACAGCTCTCGCAGCGTCCGGCCTCACGAGTTCGAGACCATGAGGAAGTTCATGATCGACATCCTGAGCACGCTGGACATCGGACTCAACGCCACCAGAGTGGGGGTGGTGCAGTACTCCAGCCAGGTACTGTCGGACATGTTGTATTTAGTTAATGTCCCCTGGCCCTTTTCCCCACTTCTGGTTAATGCATGTGATCCTTCTCGGTTTAGCACTAGCTGCATTTTAAACCATGACTTTTAATTAAGAGCATTATTGTGCTGCTGTGTTTATTGTATTTTACTCTAGAAAACAATTTCCTTCAGGATAAATAAAGTATTATCTTAAAGGTTGATAAAGCTGGCGAGGCTAAGTAATGAAATAGCAATGACACAAAACATGGCAATGTAGAAGCGCCATCAGGCGAGGGATGGTAAACGTTCCTTTTCTGTCTCCAGGTCCGCACTGAGTTCTCCCTGAAGGCTCACGCTAAACTGGATACGATGGTGAAGGGCATCAACGAGATCATCCCTCTGGCTCAGGGCACCATGACCGGTCTCGCCATCAAATTTGTGATGGACACAGCTTTCGTCGCGGAGGAGGGAGACAGGCCGAAGGTATTTACACATTTCTAACAACACATTAAAATAAACATTGTCTTCCATGCGAGGCAACTGGGAGTGGTTTCCGGGTTTAAGTCGAGTCCTCACTAACACTAAGAAAGTGGATCACATCACTCCTGTTCTGAAGTCTTTACACTGGCTTCCTGTGTGTCAAACAATAGATTTCAAAATACTGCTGCTGGTTTATAAAGCACTGAATGGTTTAGGCCCAAAATACATTTCTGACCTCCTGCTAAATGATGAACCATCCAGATCCCTCAGGTCTTCCAGGCGAGGCAACTGGAAGTGTTACGGTGAGTGAAGCAGGCAGGACCCAAATGCAGAAAAAACAGAAAATACCTTTATTTCAAGGATATGGCACACGGACAATCAGAACACTCCCCGGTGAACACAGTCACAGACAAACGACGAACCAACAATGACAGACAGAAAAAACAGAACTTAAATACACACAGGACTAATCAAGGAAACAAGAGACAGGTGAGGAGGGAGGAGAATACACAGGGGCACCAGGTGAACACAATCAAGAAAAACAGGTAGGAGCGAACACACACAGACAGGAAACCAAAGACCGATCTAAACAAGACAAAACACAACACAGACAGATTGTGACAGGAAGTGGTTTCTGGGTTTAAGGGCTCATTCCTGCACCCATAATAAAGCTTTATTTATACAGCACTTTTCATACAACACATGCAGCTCAAAGCGCTTTACAAAATGACACATCACAAAAAACAAACAACAAGAAATTCCCCTGAGATTATTTGTTAAGAACTTTAAAAGGTACACGCAGCAAAATATAACACTTCATCAGGTTAACGGACTCAAGGAGGTGAAATGGATGATAATACAAATAAAATACAATAAAATAAATAATGAAGAATGAATACAAATAAAAAGATAATAGTAACAAAAATGCCATAATTCTAATAAAGGTTACACGATTAAAACATAAAAAAATAAAATACAAATAAATGTTGCTATTGAAACTGTTAAATAAATAAAATAAGATAAAACCCTTTAACACCTATAACATAAAACAATATAAAAGTAGGTAAATAAAGACTAAAAGAACAGTTAAAGTCGGGGGCTGCTAATAATAAGCATCGTTTATAAATGTCACTGAGCTGGCCTCCCTGATGCTTGACTGTTCCCTCTCCTCAGGTTCCCAACGTGGTGGTGATCGTGACGGACGGTCGTCCTCAGGATCGAGTGGCAGAAGTGGCGATTGAGGCAAGAGAGAAAGG